AGAAATACAACATCTTTTTTATCCATTCCTCAGTGGATGGGCATTTGGGTTGTTTCCAAGATTTAGCTATGACAAATCGCACCCCTATAAACATGACTGCACATATATTTCTGTGGTATGATGTTTTTAATTCTTCTGGAAATATACCCAGAAGGAGAATAGCTGGGTTAAGTGGGACTTCTAATCCTAGTTTTGTGAGGAGTCTCTGAACTGATTTCCACAGTGGTTTCACCAATCGATGCTCCCACCAACAGTGGAGAAGTGTCCCTTTTTCCCCACAGCCTCTCCAGCATTTGTCCTTGGTTGATTTCTTAATGATAGCCATTCTTTGTGGGGTGAGATTAAATCTCAGTATTGGTTTAATTTGCATTTCTCAAATGACTAATGATGTTGAATATTTTTTCATATTTATTTGCCATTAGTATTTCTTCATTTGAGAAGTGTGTGTATTCATCTCAGATGCCCATTTTTGGATTGGGTCTTTGAATTTTTGGGGGCCTAGTTTTTTTTTTTTAATTCTTTATATGTTCTAGATAGGAGTCCTTTGTCTGAGGGGCAGTTGGCTGAAGTTTTTTCCCAATTCGTGGGTTTTCTTTTTACTTTGTTGGTGATTTCTTTTGTTGTGCAAAAACTTTCCAATAAGATAAGATCCCAATTGTTGATTCTTTGAAGTATTTCCCATGCAGTTTGGTTTTTGTTCATTAACTCTCTGCCTACCCCTATGTCTTTGAGATTTTTGCCTGCTTTCTCTTCCAGTAGACCAGCCACTTTTTAAATTTTGAGACTAGATCTTGCTAAGTTGCCCAGGCCAGCCTCAAATTTGTGACCCTCCTGTCTTTTTCTCCCAAGTAGCTGGGATATTACAAGCATGTGCCACCATACCTCACTGCCACACAAGAATTTTGGGTGGGGGGGGCGGCGGGGCAGTACTGGGAATTAACCAGGGCCTTCAGACTGAGACACATCCCCAGCCCTTTTATTAAAATATTTTGAACTGAGTGTGGTGGATTACAGGCGTGCACCACCACATCCGGCAAAAGAAAAGTTTTCACTGTCTTAGGGCAGTTTTCAAAGTGTAGTTTTCAGACCAGCAGAATTAGTGACACTGAGAATATGTTAGAAATGTAAGTTCTCAGCCTCCACCCCAGACATGCATAATCAGAAACTCAGAGTAGGAACCAGTGATCTGTTTTGTAATACATCTGGCTGATTATGGTTCATATTAAAGTTTGAGAACCACTGGTCCAGAGAAATTATTTCCCAACTACAGATATTCTTCATTTAATGACCTACCTGGGATCGGAGATATAGCTCAGTGGCATAAGCGCCTACCTGGCAAGTGCAAGGTCCTGAGTTTGATTCCTGGTACAAAAAAAAAAAAAACACCTACCTGTTTAATGACTGTTTGGACTTATGACCTGCCACTCAGCCTTAAGACCC